TGACAAATTGGCCCAGGCGGACAATCATGTGACTTTCCAGCAGCTGCCCACCGCGGCATTAGTAAAGCTATTGTTCTGGCTCCCAAATACTTAGCCAAGTAGGAGACTGAGAGGGCTGGGGGGCCTGGGGAGGTCTGAAAGCAGGACGGTACCGTGGGCAGAGGACTTCTGTGAGGCCCTCTTTGGGTTCTGATAAGGCACTAAGTTGCCCAGGATGGGCTCAAACTTTTGGATTCTCCTGCCTCAGCCTCCCAGGGTGCTAGGATTACAGGCTCGGACCACCACACCTGCCTAGAGATGTGCAAATACTCTTACGGTGGGACTGCTCAGAAAAACAAACTCATGCACTACGGGTCAGGGGACCCATGGAGCCTGAGCCCTTGGACTAAAGGTTCCACACAAAGAACCCAAGGCCTGAGCAGGCATCTGCCCTTTTGCAGACTCCTGGGTCTCCGGGGACAGAGGACACGCTCCAGGTTGGCCTCCCGAGGGCCAGCTCAGAGGCCACCATCGGATATCTGGGGACGAGGCTGGGGCGGCGGCTGCAGCACGCAGGAGCGCTTGTTATCAGCGGGGACCACTTTCCCCGACCTGGGTGGGGGTGGGCAGAGGGAAGGGAGTGTCCAGCCCTGGCGACAGCACAGGGCCATGAGGTCATCGGGCACGAGGCCTTCTTCACCAGCCCGGCACCCATTGTCTTCCCAGCTGGAATTCCCAGGGGCTTAGCCTCCGTTCCCACGAGGGCTCTGCTACCGGAACCTTGGAATTCTTGCTTTTTTGTGCGAGGCACTGGGTATCGAACCCAAAGTCTTCGCACTGAGCTACATGCCCGGCCCATTTTTATTTTTTATTTTGAGACAGGTTCTTGCTAAGTTGCCCAGGATGGGCTAGAACTTGTGATCCTTCTGCCTGAACATCCCAGAGTGCCCGGGGAGTGCCATCGCCAGAGCTCCATGGGGTCCCTGAGTCACGGTTAGGGAGCGGCCGCGGTCCCCAAGTCCACTGCGGGAGGCCAGGCGGGCAGCCTCGCCCCAGGGCGACGCCACGGTGGGAGTGGCCACTGCAGCCGCAGTCCGGCACCACTGGCCCAGCGCCGACCTTTGTGCCTCGGCCTCGTTGTTTGCTCAGTGACAGCCCTGAGTGCAAGTCCTCATGGCAGCACAGCAGACAGGGAAACCGAGGCACAGGGCAGCTATAGGGAACGAGCAGCCGCGAGGCCGCGCGTGCAGCTGATGGGCCGAGTGGCCGTTGCCGCCCATTGTGCTGGGGGATGCGCATGCGCCGTCACATCCAAGGAACCCGCTTCCCACCCGATCGCTGTCATGTGGACGCACGTTTCCACGGTGTTTTCTGGCACAGGGTGGTGGTGTCTCAGGTTCTACGTGCACCGGCAGCTCTGGGTGGCCTTAAACTCCTGATGTCGTGAGCGCCCACTGTGTGCTTAGCAGCCTTTTATTTAGTTAGTTTTTTGTCTTTTTGACACAGGGTCTAGCTTTGAAGTTCAGACCGGCCTTGAGCTCACTTTGTAGCCCAGGCTGGTCTCGAACTCGCAACGATCCTCCTGCCTCAGCCTCCCAAGTGTTGGGATTATAGGCGTGCGCCACCGTGCCTGGTTTAGCAGAGTCTTAATTAGGGGAGAGTAGAACTGGGCAACACTAGGCACCTCACTGGGAGGCTGTGTCCAAAGTCATAAAAACCTATGGTTTGCTGGGTGTGGTGGTGCATGCCTGTGACTCCAGCACTCAGGAGGCTGAGGCAGGAGGATGAATATGAGTTTGAGGGCCGTGTGGGCTACATAGCAAGTTCAAGGCCAGCCTGAACTACATGTTGAGATCTTGTCTTAAAAACAAAAACAAACATGGGAGGCTGAGGCAGGAGGATCATTGGGAGTTTGAGACCAGCCTGGGCTACAAAGTGAGCTCAAGGCCAACCTGAACTCCATAGCGAGACCCTGTCTCAAAAAGACAAAAACAAACAAACAAAAATAAAACCTGTGGCCAACAGGATGGGGGAGATGCTGGGTAAGAAGAGAGGACGGGCACAGGATATGAGCCCTACAGTCACTCCAGGTCGCTGAGTACAGTAGCCAGATAAATCTCAATCTCTCATTTGAAACCGGAGCACTCCATAGGACCAATCAGAAGTCACAATTTTCAATCCTTCATGTGCGTGTGGGCACAACCAATCCAGAGACGTTTCTGAGCCTTCATTCACACCCCACAGCAAAGCAAGTGTTCCCAGAGGACAGCTTACACAGGGCTGCAGCCAAGTGAGTGAGTGACAGGATGAGTGTGCTCAGGCCTGTGTGCACGTCAAGGAGGTCAGCCCAGGAACTCTGGGTACAAAGGGCTACTTTCCCCTACCCTTGGGCCATTGTGAGCCCTTTCACAGGCCTGCTCTTGCCCTGTAGAGTGCACCTCTTTTCCACCTTTAATAAAAGTATACTTTTGGTGGGCGTAACCCCAGCAGTTGGGAGGCTGAGGCAGGAGGATACCCGGGAGCTCAAGGCTAGTCTGGACTACATAGTGAGACCTTGTTGCAAACATTTAAAAATTTTTTAAAGGTATACTTTCGCTGCCTTTTTTTGTGTGTGTGCTTTGTCCAATTCTTTGTCCAGGACACCAAGAACCAGAAAGAACATCCTAAGGGTTGATGTGGCCCTTGCTGCAGCCCAGGGCAGCGGTCCCGGGGCCCGGAGCAGTGAGAGGCCGGGAAGGCCCCTCTGGCTCTGGCAGAACCCAGCCGCTCGTTTCCTCACCACCACGAGGCAGGTGTGCTTTTGTTCTCGCTGCTGCTGTCTCATTTTGTTTTGTTCTGCAGCTCTGGGGTGATGGAACCAGGCCTGGCACAGCTAGGCAAGCGCTCTGCTGCCGCCGCTGAGGTCAGAGGCGGGGGCTACCGATCTGCTGTAACTGCTGTGGAAACTAAGGCTTGGGAAGGGACCGGACGCCCCCAGGACCACACAGTGCCAAGGGAAGGCCAGGTCATGCAAGCACCTTGCTGGGCCAAAACAAAGGGCAATCTTTTTGTGGGGTGGGGGCTGAGACAGGGTCTCATGATGTAGCCCAGGGTGGTGTGGAACTCATGGCAGTCCTCCTGCCTCAGCCTCCCAGGTGCTGGAATGATAGGTGTGTGTCACCACGCCTGGCTAAAGCTGGCTTTGGGGCTGGGGATTTAGCTCAGTGGCACAGCGCCTGCCTGGCAAGTGCAAGGTGGTGAGTTCGATTCCTGGTACCAGAAGAAAAACAAAAACAAAAACAAAAACAAAAACAAAAACAAATAAAGCTGGCTTTGAAGAACGATCTCAGGGTCTGGGGAGTAGCTCAGTGGGAAACACAAGTTCTCCAGGCACAACACTCTGGGTTTGAGTCCTAGCACTGGAAAAAAAAAAACAAGAGAAACCACCAGAGCCGTGACATTCCAGTTAGAACAGCAAGAGGCAGGACAAGGCTGAGCCCGTGACGTCACCCTCTGGCCAGGGCTTCGCTGGTGGCTCCTATCTCTGCTCTGTTCATTCCCCCGCTGTCTCCATTTGCTGGACACCAGCCTTTCCCTGCAGGATGGGGACCAGTGTGGGTCAGGTGCCACAGCAGCTTCTTTCTGACCAAGAGGACTGGAACATGAACATCGACCCGGAAGCGCTGCTGTCTGCTGCCTGCTGTCACTGTGCCCCTGAACCCAGCAGAGGTTCTCAGCCCTGATCGTGCGCCAGAAACACCTGTGGCTGTGTGGAGCTTGATGTCATTCGGGTTTCCGGCCCCACCCTTCCTGTGCTCCATCCCAGGGAACGGCATAAGCACTGTCTTTGTTAGGCTTGGCTCTCCCCAAGTTAGGGACAGAAATATTGTCGCACTGTACTTGTTTTCTGAATTCCAAGTCAAGGGCGCTTGCATTTAGAGCTGGGGGCGTGGCTCAGTGACACAACACCATCTGCCATGGGCAAGACCCTGGGTTTGACCCCAACACTCCAGGAGGCTGAGGCAGGAGGATCGCAAGTTTGAGATCAGCCTAAGTAACACAGGGAAACAATGAGATGGTGCCTAAACAAAAAGGAAAAAAGCAGTGATGTAGCTCAGTGCAAAGGCCCTGGGCTCCCAGTACCACAGAGACAGGGAGGGGGAGAGGGCACGCCTCAAGTGAGACGGTAGGCAGCGCCCATCGCCACGTGTGAGTCTGGTCATCCTCGTGGACACAGGTCCGCCGTGGGCTCGGGGACTCGGGCATCGAGCCTGATGCTTAGGGAAGATTTTCTCAGGGCGCCTATGGAGCTGCTGATGTCTTCCTCGTTCTCCATGGTTGGTGGCGCTCCGCCCCAGCCTGAGACCCTGGCGGGCCCTAGGAGAGACGCTGCCCAGAAAGCGAAGTCTGCTGCCGCCAGCCTCTGCCTGCTGCGTGGCCTCCGCACCGGCTCCACTCTCTGCCGCCACCTGCCACAGGCTCAGGGCCTCACTGAGGCCCTGGGCCCTGGCTCTGCGCCTTGAGAAATGACGGTCACCACCTGTACGCTGGGCGCTTTGCCACTGCTTTAACTGTCACCTGCAGTGTGTGGGGGGCCCCTTTGTGCCTCAGGCCTGCTGACGTCTAAGCACCTGCTGCACAGTGGGAACGGAGCTGGGCGTGGTGACACACGCCCTGTCATCCCAGAACTGGGGAGGCCGAGGCAAGACGATCTCCAGGAGTTCAAGGCCAGCCGGGGCTACACAGACAGACCTTGTCTCAAACAAAAACAAAAACACTTCCCCAAACAAGACAATGGGAATTGATTTCCACAGCAGGTGAGTGGTGGGTTGGGACTGCTGCCCTCGCTGTGTGGGTCAAAGGCTGAGGACCCTCCTTGCAGTCCCGGGGACCACCAGGTGCCACCCTGGGTGGTCACGGGCCTGCCCGGGCTGCTGGCAGCCGCATTCCTGAGAGGGCTTATTGTGTGCTATCTTATCTCAATAGGAAGAGGCAATTCAGGGAAGAATTTCCGTGTGGCCGCACTCTGAGCTGCCCCCCCATTACTCACATCCACCGCGGCGCCGAATGGGGCCCCGGGCAGGGGTTTATTTTTTCTCGGTGCCAGACAAACTGGAATCTGTCTGCCCTCCACGCCCGACGTCCCAGCACTCGGGCTGGCACAGGTCCGCCACACCCAGGACGCTGGCCCTGCTCTCAGCCGGCCGAGGGGGTGAGGCGAGCGTCCATGCCGGCAGGTGTGGGAGCCCTGTGGGAGCCATCCGGTGCCTGGCCAGTGTGAGAGGCTGTCCTGTCCCAACGGCTGTCTGTGCAACACTTTTAAACCTAGGGGAAGGAAAGAAGCCCCAGTGAACACATTTATACCACGCCCCTGGATCCACCACTCACTTTGAGACAGGGTCTTGCTGTGTAGTCCAGGCTGGCTTGGAAGTCATGGCGAGTCTCCTGCCTCAGCCTCCTTCATGCTGGGACTGCAGGTGTGCACTCCCATGCCCAGCTGTATTTGATACTGGGGATTGAATCCAAGGCCTTCAGATTGAACTACATCCTTAGCCCTTTTTAAAAAATTTTTTTTTTAATTTTATTGAGATGGAGTCTCAGTCTATAGCCTAGGCTGGCCTTGAACTCCCTGAGATCCTCCTGCCTCAGCTTCCCACAGTGCTGAGAATTCAGGTGTGTGTCACCATGCCCAGTTTAAAGTATAATGCTTAATCTCTGTCACTTACTTATTTTATTTATTTAGCTCTTCTATACCAACAGGTGGGTTTTCCAGTGATTCCCGGGGACAGTGTTTCAGAGAGGGGTTTTGGATCGTCCAGCACAGCGTTGCTCAGGGGCTTAAGGGACTCCTCAGGGTGGCGTATTAGAGTCCAAGTGTCGCAGCCTCGGGCCCCCCTGTTCTGCAGCGCACAGTGGCTGACCCGAGCACGGGGCCCAGCACGTGGCTCTTCCTGCAGTGGCCACAGTGTGGGGCTCCTCTGGGGCTGTGGCTGAGAGACCCCAGACCTTCGAGAGGAGAGAGGAGGAGAGGGGAGGGCAGGCGGCCCGTCGATGGGCTCAGGTCCACGCTGTCACCAGACACGGGTCCCATGGGTTCTTTCCAGGTCCTTGGCGTCCCGAACAAAGGATCGGCCGAGACACGCAGGAAAGGCTGCAAAGTGTCCATTTACAGAAAGTGGAAAAGAGATTCACCCTACAGGGTGAGGGCAGCCGGTGAGAAGCTCACAGTGGGCCCAGGATGAGGGAAAAGGGGTCCTCGGTACCCAACACTCCGGGTCATCTCCTTCTCATATAAACAAGGCATTGGGACAGTCGTCCTATCGCTCACTCACTAGGTGTCACACCATGTGTAAACTGTCCCATAGAAAAGCTCCCTAGCTGAATGATCAGGAATAGTGTTTTTTTTTGTTGTTTTTTTTTTTTTTTCCGGTACCAGGAATTGAACTCACGACCTCGCACTTGCCAGGCAGGCCCTGTGCCACTGAGCTAAATTCCCAGCCCCTGGAATAGTATTTTTTGATTGGTTGTGTCCACATGCAAATGAAGGCTTGAAAAGAGTATCTTCTGATTGGTTCTGAGAACAGCACCGGATTCAAATGAGGACTGAAAATGGCAGGTTTCTGATTGGTCTAAAATTGCACCCTTCTGATTGGTTCTGTGTATAGTGACGCTGGGAGTGTCCATGCCCTGTGCCCCTGTCTTAATGGAACTTGGGACACAGAAGCTGGGTTCTAGCTGAGGAAAAATGGGGCGGCCCCAAGACTCCAGCAGGGACTCCGTGACAACCCCGGAAGTGTAGACCAGTCTTCACACATATCTAACACGCTGCGGTCCCGGGGTCCCCAAGATCCAGAGCCACAGCTCTGTCCTGAGGACGGCCACGACCAGCCACGCTGTGAGGGCTCCGGGTCCCTGGGACCACACAGCGTCTGTGTCAGCTGAGATCCCCGCGGTGGGCGGTGCTGGGGTTGATGTGGGTTCCGTTCCTGAACTGCGCCGGCCCTAGGCTCCACACTGGGGTCAGGCTCCCGAAGGCATCCTCCACAGAGCTCACATCAGCTGGCCCTGGGGAGCCCCTGAGCTCCAGGACCCGGGGGCTCCACGCTCCGTGTCCCCTGCAGGGCTGACGTCCTCCAGGCCCCGCTGTGGAGAAAGGACACACAGCGGCCTTGGCGATGGCCCCTCCCACTGGCTGCGACCCCCAACAACCACTGGCTGGCTACTGGGATCAGGTGAGGACGAGGACCCCGGATGTAGATTCAACACCCTGGAGTTTCAGGACCTTGGAGGCCGAGGGCAGCGCTAAGTCACAGAGGTCAATAGTCAGTGTTTGTTTTGTTTTGTTTTTGGAGTATTGGGGATTCAACCCAGTTCCTTCCCATGGAGCTAGAGCCCCAGGCCTTTTTAAATTTTGAGACAAGGTCTTACTAAATCACTAAGCTGCCAGGCTGAGCTTGAACTTTCGATCCTCCTGCCTCGGCTTCCCACGCTGCTGGGATTAAGGTGTGGACCACTGCCCTCAGCTTCCAGCAAATTTTTGTTACTTAAAATGAAGTTTTTGGTGGATTTTGGGCGCCAGTCCTTTTATTTTTGAGACAGCATGTCCCTAAGTCACCCAGGATGCCTTCAAATTTGCAATCCTCCTGCCTCAGCCTCCAAGTAGCTGATTACAGGTGTGCACCACCATGGCTGGCTTGCATCCCATTCTTCTTTGGTTTGTTTGTTTGAGACAGGGTCTCACTATGTACATCAGGCTGGCCTGGAACTCACAGCAACCCTCCTGGCTCAGCCTCCTGAGTGCTGGGATCACAGGTGTGTGCCATTGGGCCTAGTCTGCATTCTGTTTTTGCTAAATTGAGTTTATCATGGGTCCGACAAAACGGAAACAGGAACCAAGCCGTAAAGTCTCTCTAGGAGCGGGGCGTGCTGGCACACGCCTCTAGTCCCAGCACTCGGGAGGCTGAGGCAGGAGGATTGTTGTGAGTTCGAGACCAGCCTGGGCTACAAAGTGAGCTCAAGGCCAGCCTGAACTGCATAGCGAGACCCTGTCTCAAAAAGACAAAGAAAAAGTCTCTCTAGGAGTAGAGATAGTGCAATCAGCTGCACCTGCCTGAGGTTCGGGCCTCCTGACATTTCCGCTGCAGGAGGGAGAGGAAGCTCTGGGCAGACTTCCAGGGCACGGACAGCTGAGTGCTGGAAGCCGGGAGGGACCCCAGATGGGGGGCTACGGGTGCAGCAGCAAGGAGGAGGCATTCCAGGGGTGACAACTTAGTTATGTGCCCTCAGGAACACTGGGATGATCCTGAACTTGCACACCTGGGAAAGACGCCCAGGGAGAATCGAAGTTACTGTGCTGAGGGTTAGAAACCATCATAAATCCCATTCACTAACCACACACCTGAGCTGACTCACTGCAAACCCATAAAACCAGGAAAGAGAGCCAGGCGTCAACAAAGCCTCACCTTCAAGGTGGGGTGTGCGCTGCCACTCAGGACCCGGGTTTCTTCTTTTTCTTTTTTTGAAACAGAGTCTTGCTATGTAGCCCAGGCTGGCCTCGAATTTGTGGGGATCCTCCTGCCTCAGCCTCCCAAGTGCTGGGATGACAGGTATGCGCCTCCACGCCCGGCAGGACCCAGTTTAACTGGCGCTTCCTACACGGCTGGGAGCCTGGCTCTTTGGTGGGCGGCAGGGCAGCCTCCACCCTCCAGCGCCCAGCGCGGTGCTGCCCCCAGTTGTTGCAGAGGTGCAGCGGGGGATACAGTCGCTGCTGGGGGCGGAGCATGGACGTCTGTGCGTCTGCCTAGCTGCTGCCGTGACTGCCCACGGGACTGGGGAGACCATCACATCAAAACAATACCCCCATGATGCCAGCACAGGGGAAGCTGAGGCAGGAGGATCACCGTGAGTCCAAGGCCAGCCCCGACTAGATAGCAAGTCTCAAAGTAAGCAAAGGAGTTAACAATAAGTAGGTGAAGCCTGCGACTTAGTTGCCAGCCGGGTCCACGGTTAATGTCTTGGTGTTTTATATAGAGCCTGGTTACACAAAATGGTACGTCAGGGGGCGGGGCAAAGGGCGCAGTGCTTCTGGAACTTTTCTGTACATCTGAAATGATCCTGAAATTAGACGCGTATTTAAAGTCAAGCACACAAACAAGAAAGCACTACACAGGAAGCAGCCTGCGTTCCCCAGCCGGGCTCAAAGGAATCCGGGTTCCTATCCAAGCCTGGTGCACCGCGGGCGCTGACACTGGAGACGCGCGCCCCCTCGCGGACGCAGGAGGCAGCGCTCTGTGCAGTTCCCACTGCAAACCAATGACGCTGCTCCGAGGCGTGCAGCTAAGGGAAACCCTTGTAACTCAGTGTCTCCCCAGGGCAAAGGACTGAAAATAAAGAACACGCACAGTCTTCGTCATGCATCAAGAACAACATGTGGCCTGGTGTGGTTACTCATGCCTGTAAAGCGCTTGGGAGGCTGAGGCAGGAGGATCGTTGCAAGTTCGAGATCAGCCTGGGCTACAAAGTGAGTTCAAGGCCAGCCTGATCTGTATAGTGTGACCCTGTCTCAACAAACAAACCAAGAAAAAGACCAAGCTCCCACGTGCAGTGTTTCCCCGACCCGCCTGACCGTGGAAGCCGCTGCACAGCACACAGCTTGCCTGGACGCACAGAGCTTGCCCAGAAGCTCCTTGGTGACTGTGGGACAGTGGGGACTTGGAGCCACACCGGCTCGGTGGCAGCCCTGCCCTGCATGCATGGCCACAGGCCCTGTACCTCCAGGCCTGAGATGATAGATGAGGCCTCTGACGAGCTGCTGGAAGCCGCCCAGGCCCGGAGGGCCTACATGCGTTGGGGAGGAGGGCAGCTCCTGCAGGAACGTGACCCCTGCCCACACCCGTCCGTCCGTCTGTCTGTCACTGGGCAGCCTCCTGGCACTGCAGTGCATCTGCAAGTGTGCAGGAGAAGACAGGCAGGGATGATGACCAGGGGTGGTTGAAATAGATGGGGAATGTTTAAATTTAAAGTAACTTACTACCCAGGACAGCGGCGCACACCTGTACTCCTAGCACTAGGGAGGCTGAGGCAGGAGGATTCCAAGTTCCAGCCCAACCTGGGTAACTTCGTGAGTTCCTAACAATAAAAAATAAAAAGGGCCGGGCTGTAGCTCAGTGTAGAGGTCCTGGGTTCCATCCCTAGTCCCACAGCATAAAAGTACACTGAGAGCCAGGTGTGGCGGTGCACGCCTGTAAACCCAGCTCTTAGAAGGCTGAGGCAGGAGCATCGTCCCACGTTCAAGGCCAGCCGGGGCTGTATAGTGATTTCAAGTCCAGCCTGAACTATACAGTGAGACCCAGTCTCAAAAAAATAAAAAAGAAAAAGTCCACTGAGAAACCAGGCAGCGACCCGGATGCAGCCCAGGGACACGGAGAGTCCCCGCTGCTGCCCTCCTGAGAAGCGGCGACGCAGGAAGCCTCGGGCGGGTGGGGACACGGCAGCTTCGGGTGACGGGAGAGTGGATCTCGTTCCGCTGCACCCTCCCGGCCCAGCCTCCATGACCCCCTCCCCCCGCACCCCACAAAGCCTCTGGGGACCCCGAAAGGCAGGGTCTGGGTGGCTTCCGGACGGGACTCTCACCGTCATCCAGGAGGGGACGGCCCCGCCTCGCCCCTGCCCCGCCCCCGCGGACGTTTTCCTCGCTACGCCGCAGCGCAGGCAGCCTGCTGTCCGGAGAGCGCGGGCCTTAGAACCACAGGGCCGTCTGAAGCTACTTACTCCACGATTTTGTTTCGTAGCACTCAGGATGGAACCCAGCCCTTCTTCCAGTTCTTCTTTTGAGATAGGGTCTTGATGAGTCACTAAGTTGCCCGGCCTGGGCTTGAACTTGCAATCCTCCTGCCTCAGCCTCCGGTGTGCTGGGATCACAGATGAGCACCACCACACCTGGCTGTATACAGAGAACTTCTACTCATCCACTAGGAAGACAGACGCTTCCAGAGCCGCCGTTCCGCGGGAGACCCACTGCACACACACTCCTACCTCCTACGTCCCCCACTGGCTGCCCCATACCGGTCGTGCAGCTCCTCTCTACCCAGTTCCTTCCAAAGACAGCACCACCTCCCCCAGAAAGCCTCCCAGGGCTGCCTCAACCCTGCTGGACCACCGCTGCGGCCCCGGCCACTCACCTGCTGCACGGGCTCCACTCGTCTGTGCGGGGACTGGCGGCTGCTTCATCTGCAGTGACTTGCAGTCCTACAGCGTGCTGAGCCTTCCCAGTCTGAATCCTTTCAGGTGGAGGCAGAACTTCAAAATCAGTTTTCCAAAAACGGGATATCCCTCTGCCACAAACTGGGGACTGAACCCAAGGCCTTTGTCCCAAGCTACATCCCTAGCCCATTGTAAATTTTTTTATTTTGAATCCTTCTTGAGTTGTTAAATTGCCCATGTTAAGCCTGAATTTGCAATCAGGAGGCTGAAGCAGGAAGATCACAAATTTGAACCCAGAGTGGGCAATTTAGCAACTTGGCAAGACCTTGTCTTTTTTAGAGACCAGGTCTCACTATGCAGCTCAGGCTGGCCTTGAGCTCACTTTGTAGCCCAGGCTGATCTCGAACTTGCAACAATCCTCCTGTCTCAGCCTCCCAAGTGCTGGGATTACAGGTGTGCACCACCACGCCTGGCTAATAAGATAATAATAATAATAATAATTAATAATGGCCGGGCATGGTGGCGCACGCCTGTAATCCCAGCACTTGGGAGGCTGAGGGAGGCGGATCATTGAGAGTTCGAGACCAGCCTGGGCTACAAAGTGAGCTCAAGGCCAGCCTGAGCTACGTAGTGAGACTCTGTCTCAAAAAGACAAATAATAATAATAATAATAATAATAATAATAATAATAATAATAATAATAATGTTTTAATAATAATACTAATAAAAGGGTTGGGGATATAGCTCAGACCAAAGGCCTTGGATTCAATCTCTACTTCTGCAAACAAAAAACAGAAATGAAACAAAACAGAAAGAAAGAGAAAGAAAAAAGAAAGCCAGGTGTGGTGGCATGCACCTATAATTCCAGCATTTGGCAGGCTGAAGCAGGAGGATCACAACGAGTTTGAGACCAGCCTGGGCTGCATAGTGAGTTCAAGGCCAGCCTGGAGTACACACAAGATCATGTCTCAAAAAATAAAGAAAAAAGGGGAGAAAAGCATGAAAAAGTGAGAATGTATATTTTTATGGAATGCATAGAAAGATCAGAATTGCTTTACAATTAACATTAATTTTTTTGTTTGCAACCAGGGGTTGAACTCAGGGCCTCGTGCTCGCAAGGCAGACGCCACGCCGCTGGGCTAAATCCCTGGCCCTCAGCATTAATTTGAGCAGCATGGCACTTGCACATCTGTTGGTAAACTGCCTGACACCGCCGCGAGTGGACATCAGGTGATGCCATCCACACTGCTCAGAGGGGATCAAGGCATCCAGGCCAGCGGCCTCCCGGCGGCAGCAGAGACCTGGTCCCCAGCCCTGGCCTCCCGACCTCTGTCCTTTCTCCTGGCGTGGGGCAGTAGCGCCTGGCTGTCGGGGCTCCGCTGGCCTCTGGGGCGAATCTGACAGCTCTTCTCTGCTTGGTCCGCACCACACTGGGGAGGTCCGGGTTAAGGTCCGAAGTGGGGCCTTCTGCCCTCCTGCCCTCCCGTCTGGGGTGCCTGTCTGAGGACAGGGATGTCCATCTCTGACGCTGCCGTGTCCCTGTTCCTGGACAAAGATGTGTTTAAAAAAACAATGGTGGTGCCTGCCTGTTATCCCAGTACTCGGGAGGCTGAGGCAGGAGGATCACCAGCAATTCAAGGCCAGCCTGGGCAACACAGTGAGGCCTGGTCTCAAGAAAGAAATAGGAAAGGGGAAAGCACCAAGCTGCAGGTCACTGCACACGTGTGGCCGTCCTGGGCTTCCAGCCATGGCTCCTGCTGGCAGAGACCTCCACCAAGCACGAGGGACAGAGGATGCAACTGACCAGGCAGGTGTGGATACAGCAAGGTCCAGTGCAGTACAGCCCAGGACCATCAGGAGCCAGGGTGTGGCCTGCAGCAGGTACTCTGGCTGCTGGCCATGGGCCATGATGGCCGAGAGGTGGAGGAGCCTGGCCAGGGCGTCCAGGAACCTTGACCACAGGCAGATATAGGAGAATGGCTTTCCCTAACCCTGGGCACAGAGAGGAGGGGGCTGGGAAGGGGTGACACTGGGCCCCAAAGCCCAGGCTCCTGAGTGGCATAGCAGGTTGGGGGACAGTTCTTAGTCTGCGGATGCTCCCCAAGGATGTAGCTTATTAGGCTCCAGCTTCGGCTCAAGCTGTTTTCTCTGCCAGGCGAGCTCCTATTCATCTCTCAGGGCCAGGCTTCAACTTAACTTTGGGGACCTCCTCTTACCATTCTGCCCCAGGGGGAGCCACTGACTCTCTGGGGCTCTGGCACAGCCCTCTGGCAGACGTATTTTACTAGGCATGGTGAGGGCAGGCCAGGGCCTTCACCTTCCCCAGCCACTCAGTGCCCAGCTCCTGACGCTGGGCAGGTGCCTGACTGTCCCTGGGGGACGTAGGGAGACTCAGGAAACCTTGCCCAGCCCTTCTCTGGTCCGGACATTTATTCTGAGCCAGTCAGTGGAGATAATAGTCCTGAAACATGTACACCAAGGAGACAGTTATGGAGAACAAGTATTGGAAATGCTTGTTCTAAAACAATACACAGCCTGGAATCCCAGCACTCAGGAGGCTGAGGCAGGAGGATTGCTGTAACTTTGAGGACAGCTGGGGCCTCAAACACTAAGCTAAGTAGACAAATAAGCATCCTCATGTCCCTCTGCCTCCCAGCTGACTTTGGCTCCCAGGCCTCCGTCTCTGGCCACCCTCTGCTCACTCCAGTGGCCATGACCTGTCCGGCCACCGGCAGTCCCAGGCCCAGCCTAGCTTCACGATTCTGCAGAGTAAGGGGATCCGGGATACCCAGGATCCTGCAGATGCAATATCCCCCAGCAGGTAGCGAAGGATGTCGGTGTTTTCCTGCAAGAGTGACGACAGCGCTCAGGATTCTGTGGGGACTGTCCCCAACCCAGGAGTGGCCACGCTGGCATCCTGCTCTGCTTTTATGTATGTATGTATGTATGTATGTATATATGTATGTATTTTGTCTTTTTCAGACAGGGTCTCGCTATGTAGTTCAGGCTGGCCTTGAACTCACAACGATCCTCCTGCCTCAGCCTCCCGAGTGCTGGGACTACAGGTGTGCCCCACCATTCCTGGCTCTGCTCTGCTTTCAGAAAGTTGCTCCCAAGCATGCGGAGCGCCCAGTTGACCTGCTTGGTACCTGCACCCTGGGGGCCCAGCCTTACCTGAGGCGGGTTTCCCAGCAGTCTTTGCTGGGGCTGTGGGACCAGGGCCAGGGTGAACACTCGGGCTGGAGCTGCTGTGGCTGCATCCTCACTCGGATGCCCGGACCTGCAAGAGACAGAGACACCTGGCACTTGGGACAGTTGCCCAGGAGAGCTGGAGTCAGCCCCTGCCCCGCTCCCCGCCCCCTCTGTCCCCCTGTCCAGGCCCAGCTGGCTGCGCCTCCTTCCGGAGGCCATGCTGCCCTGCGCTGGGCCCGAGGAGGGCGCGGTCCTCGTTTTGTGGTGCTGGGGATGGAACCCAGGCCTCAGGTGAGGTCTGCACTCAGCAAGCACCCACCGCAGAGCGACACCTCCAGCCCCCTCCCCCCTTCTTTTCTGATACTTGGAACTGAACCCCTCCAGATACGCTTATTACTTCATCTTGCCGCTTTCTGAAGCAGTTCTGGAAAGTCTATGTGAGGCGTGATCAAAAATAGTGTCCACTGCCACCAAGTGCCATGCAGCAGAAAGGCGGGCTTGGAAAACAGGGCACTGTGTCCGCAAGTGCTGCGTTCATCGGATCTGACACCGTGCAACTCCTGGCTCTTCCCCAGGTCACAAGGGCCATGAAAGGGAAGCACTGGGAATGAATTCAGGACCCTGAGCCACTTGGACAGCGCGGGAAAGAGGGCTCCAGCACTGCTGCAGAAGGCCGCAAGCCAAAGGGACAAGCGTGCTGGAAGTGAGGGGTGGGTTTGAGGGGCTTCATGGCCAGGTACCCCATTTTAAGAAATGTAAACATTCCCCGTGGGTTTAGGTCTCACCTCTCTAGACACAGGGGATTTGGGGACACAGCACTGATGGGTGACATAGGTTACCATTCCAACCACGGGAGGGCTTCCCTTGAGGGTGACTTTGAGCAGAGGCTGTGAGGACATGGGGGCAGGGGCAGAAGGGCACAGGCCTGAGGGGAAATCGCCTGAACCTGCGGCAGCAGCAGGGGGAGGAGGGAGACCCCTGCCAGCCGCAGGCCCGGGTACCTGGATCAGGAGCCGCCTGGCCAGAGCAGCACCGGACATACCACACAGGCGGGTCAGGAGGCAGCGTGAGGCACACAGGGCTGCGTTTCTCTGCCCATCGCAGGTAGAGTGCTGCAAGACAGAACACCCGCCAGGGGTGTGGAGAAGGTGGCGCAGGTGTCTAAAGGGACAACTGCAGCCAGGGCGTGGTGGCGCCCGCCTGTGATCCCAGCACTGGGAGGCTGAGGCAGAACGATTGCCACAAGTTTGAGGCCAGCCTGAGCTATGTAGTGAGACCTTGTCTCAAGAAACAAAACAAACACCCTAGGTTCTAGCACCACACAGCCAAACCACTCTAAGTGCGGCAGAAGCAGGGCAAAGGCTGTCGGCAGCGCCAGTCATCCTCCTCCCGCTTCCCAGCCAAGGGCTGTGGCTAAATCCGGGCTGGAAATGTCAAGGGACCTGCCGAAGTCGCGGGGGCTGGTGGCCGCGGGGGTACCCTGATGTGTAGTGCGTGCTGGTTAAGTCCCCTGGCGTTTTGCCTCACTGGGCCCTTCCACCCGTCCCGTGAGGAGTTACCCCCATTCTCGTGAGGCGCAAAGCTTTTTTTTCCTTTCTTTTTTTGAGACAGGGTCTCCATCTGTAGCCCGTGCTGGCCTCGAACTCTCCGTGAGCCTCTCACCTGCCTCCCAAGGCATGGGATTACAGGCGAGCACCCACACCCGGCTTCAAGGTTTCACAACTTGTTCCGCAGCGCCGAGTAAGGGCGTGGCGGACAACAGAACCCAGGGCGCCCGCGGCGCTCACCACTGCACCCCCCGCCCCGCGCGGCTGCTGACTCACAGAGCCCGGCCTCACTGCGCGCCGCCTCCGCCCGGAGAAAGGATCGCTGTGACGCGGGCGGGGCCGCGCCCTTCCCACCTCGGCCCTGCACCCCAACCCCAGCCGGGCCCCGCCTGCG